GGGGTGAAAAGGGTGTTACATTTACTTAATTATGAATGTTGTTACATCAAGGCCGAAAATTAGGATGAGCGCCAATGGTCAAAAATGTTTTTTCCCTCCCAGAGCTACCAGCGCAGCGCCCCCCCCAGATCTGGCACCCCTAGATGCCAGAAATTGGCCCTGCCTAGTACATACAGTGGCAATGTCTCAAGATTTAGCAAAAATACACCTTTATTGAACATACAGTAACACAAATACTACAAATCCACATAACAAACAATCAAAAATGAAAAAGGGTCGCCACTTATTATTATTTTAAGAAAAAAGAAAAAAGGTTTTGGTACCTGGCTGGTGCCCCCTGGCAGCGGTGCTCATGTTTCAGCAGCCACTATTTATATATAGGGGAAACACTGGGCTAAGAAGCGGGACATTACCATTACCTCTAAGTGGTTGACAAATCATAACAGAGCCCACCAACCAACCAATCAGAGCAGACTGGGCTCTGGTTTCAGACGGAGGGTGAAAAAAGCTGCTGCAGGCATACAGGCAGTATGAGAAAAATAAAGATTTTTTTGAAAATCAAAGCACAAACATGTCACAGTAGAGGCACAAAATACAAATATGAACCATACAATTATCATAATACAGTATGTACTCTTTGACTTTATCTATTTCTATATGTAGTTTCGCTACTCACTATCTGGTTAGCTGGAATGACATCATAGTTTTATCTAATTTCAATATTTCAGTAGTTGTTGAAATCCTTACATATATTGAATATCATTGGTGTATCAGGCAAAAAGAAACACACTTTTTTTGACATTACAGACCCATACAATACCCCTATTTCAGTACAGTTTTACAATCCCACGATCTCCTTTGTATACGGTGTCCAACCAAGAATGTGGATGCAAAAATGTCATGATGAAATGCACTGCCATTTTGAATGATTGCATTGTGATCAGGGTTCGAGTTATGTGGGAGCATAAAGAGGGGTCCCACGGACGCAGTGAAATCATACATCTGTGGGGGTCGCTAATACATTACCAACAACCATTATTTTAATCACAAATAATGCACGTGTCAATGTAATGAGTTGTGGTGACAACATGTGGGACCATAATTCACCTTGTTTATTGTGTTGCCACACGGACCCTTTAGTGGGAACACCTGTTGCTTTAGCTTGCCTAATGGAGATGAATGGATAATAAAGATTGGAACTCCATTCTTAATACACCGCCTCCGACTCCCTTTTCTTCGGCACCACACTAGTGACCCTGACGGCTTCGAGACAGTTTCCGAAGTCTCAATGAACATGGCTAATTGCGATGTTTTCGTAAAGCTGCCGGAGTTCTGGGAGAATGCCGCGGCGGCGTGGTTTGCACACGTGGAGGCGCACTTCGCCTGCCGGCAGGTCCGTGACGGGGACCTGAAATACTACCATGTTGTAGCAGCGCTGGGAAGCTCCACGTCGTCCAGGTTGGTTGGATTTATCACAGACCCCCCACACCATGGCAAATATGAGGCGATTAAGGCCCTTCTCCTTAAGACATTTAGCTTATCTGCTAAGGAGAGGGCCCGCCAGATACTTGACATTCAAGGCCTAGGGGACAGCAAGCCATCTCAGCTAATGGAGAAAATGCTAAATCTGCTAGGGGGCGAAGATCCCCGGATTTTATTCACGGAGATTTTCCTGCGTCACTTACCTTCCCGGGTCCAGACGGCGCTGGCCAACACGCCTGTCACGGAGCCCCGTGCCTTGGCTGAGGAAGCGGATCGTTTTTTCCTGGCTACACAACAGCCCGGTGCAGAGACGTTAGCCGCGACGCTCAGTGGCCCGTCTGCAGGCAAAAAAGCATGGCGGAGGCCGGACACGGCAGTTTCGAGCCGGCGTGGAGACACCGGAGAGTGCTTTTACCACGCACGTTTCGGGACAATGGCTAAGAAATGCATCGCTCCGTGCAGCTACAAACCCCCGGGAAACGGAGGGGCCGGCGCTCAGTAGTGGCCCTGAGCGTCGGCGGCACGGGCAGGCTCCTTTTCGTCAGCGACAGTGTTTCGGGGGGCCTGTTTCTGTGTGACACGGGCGCTCAACGGAGCGTAGTTCCCGCGTCGAGTGAAGACATCACCCGTCGTGGGCACGGACCGCGGTTGATGACTGCTAACGGCGGTCCCATTCGCACGTACGGCGTGAGGCCTATGTGTTTGTGCATCGGAGGACAGCATTTCAGCTGGGATTTTGTGACAGCGGACATTTCTTTTCCCCTCCTCGGAGCGGATTTTTTGTGTGCTCATGGACTCTTAGTGGACGTTAAGAATAGGCGTTTGGTTGATGCCTTAACGTTTTCTTCCCTCGTGTGCACACTTGGCAGCGCAGCGTACGACGGGCTGTCGGGCTCGCTGTCGGGGGCAGACACGTTTCTCAGACTGTTGGCCGAGTTTCCGGACCTGTCGCTGCCCACCTTCTCTGCGCTTACCACTAAGCATGGCGTGGAGCACCACGTCACTACCGAGGGGCCTCCTGTCTACGCCAGGGCTCGGCGGTTGAACTCTTCTAAGCTGGCTGTAGCGAGGGCGGAGTTCGCAACCATGGAGCGCCTGGGCATTGTCCCATAAAATTAAACAACAGAGGGAGAGGAGAGAGAAAGGAAGAGATGGGTGGGGGGGTTGCAGGCCAGTCTATTTGCATGCATGTAGTTGGGATTTCAGGAACTTCACTGCTGGGGAAACAGTTCCTTGGAGTTCATACACCACATCCTGGAGAAATTGCCAAGTAGGCAAACACTGGCTTGGATATTGGATGTCAAAGACATAAAAAGTCTTAAAACAAGTATCCACCGCTGCGAGAGCCGTCTCGGTCTCAATAGCCGTGCCTGAGATGACAACAAAGGCTTGAGAGCACAGCATCCCATCGTTAAGCAGCAGCACGAACGGGCACGACCTGAACGATTTGGCTTCCTCCAAATACTCCACCATGTTAGTTCCGACCTATGATGAGAAAGAAAAGAAAAAAGATAAGTATTTCTATTCACGAATACAATCTTTACAAGTTGCACCTCGTTGTAAAGAGGAATTAGGCTTTCCAACAGTGTAAAAGAATAATTGGAGTCATTTCACTATGAATTTATATTTGAGTTTCTGTTCAAAGGTAAATTACTTACAGGCTTAACATCAATGAAGAATCTCTTTGATTCTTCCACACTGACGCGGACCAATTTTCTGCCATTTGAGTATCCAGAAAAGCATGATATAAAAACAAACTCCTTATTATTATTAGTAAGGTATTCTTTACATTTGCTAAGTTTGTTATAAAATAACTATCTTACCCAGATTGATCTCTTCCTCTGGCAATGCGAGTTTCCCTTCACGTTTCGCCAGACGAATGATCTTGTCAGCGTAGAGAGGAACCCACGTTTCGAAGAGTTTA